CCGCGGAAAGGGGAACGGCGCTGGGAAGTGCCGTGAGAGGAGGAGGAGGTGTAGCCCGTTCGCTGGGGCTGGGAGGAGGAGGCGGGGTGAAGACGGGCTCGCATCCGCTGGTGGTCCCTGGCGGCCTCGTAAGCCTGTGGGACCGATGTGAACTCGTACCGCCATAGCTCGGAGCGGTACTCAAGCGGAAGGCTGGCCAAGAAACGATCAATAAGGGCAGCCTCGGGGAGGAACGCCACGTCGCAAACGAGGCGGGCGTCCTGAAAGACCTGGATGTGGCGATCCAGGCCGACAGCACCACCAGAGTCGGACCAGCGTGTAGTGATGACACGCTCGAAGGCGTCAGTCACGTCGTATCGGGCTCCGAAGCGATCCTCGAGGAACGCATGGAAATCCACGAAGGTCGGAGTCCGACCCTCACGAAGGGAGTAGGCATAGAAATCCTCCCAGGCCTCGAAAGGACCGCCACGCAGGCGCGTGGAGAGGTGACCCACCCACGTCTCGGGTGTGGCGCCCATGAGCTGGAGTGTGCAGGTGTCAGACTGCAGCCACCGAGACACGCGTATGCCTGTACCGTCATACAAGGCAATGTCTGACAAGCGGATGAGTGGTGCGCCACCGTTTTGGCGGTGAGGGGATCGAGGAGCAGAGGCCTGTGCCACGACTAAGTAAGTCGGCGCAGGTCCTGGAGAAAGGGGCGCAGCTGACTGTGCGTTCGGGCCGCATGTGGGAGCGGCGGTGGCAACAGCGGCAGGCTGCGAGGGTGCTGCGGTAGAAGAGGTCGCAGCAACCGCGGGAGTAGGAAGAAGGTAGGAAGGAGTTGTATAGGGTGCAGAGCGCGGAAAGCGAGCCTGCATGGGAGGAAGGGTAGAGGAGGTAGGGGGTGCGCCCGAAGGCGCGGCCACCTGTGAGGGTGGGGGTGGCTGAAGGCGTAAGAGGGCGAGGTTGGCCCGGAGCTGGGCAAAGAGTGGAGGAAGTGGATGCACAAGCGGCGCGGGGCATCCCAGAGGGGGGAGAGCCAGGTGGCGCTGCGGTCGTGCGAAGGGGGGAGAGGAGCGGGGCACCCGGAAACGCTGAGACCATGGTAACGGGTTGTGGTCCCGTGGTCGTCGTAGCCGGAGTCTGGGCCGGTGCGCCCGTAGACTGAGGAAGGGCCTGACTCGTGGCGGCCGTCGAGCTAGGGGCGTGGACGGTCACCAAAATGGTCGGGTCGGGGGCAGCAGAGGAGGAAACTCCGTCGTGGCCACAATGTCGGAGAACTGGGGACCCGGACTGAGAGCCAGGAGAAGAGAGAGGATGAGGAGAGGAAGGACGACCAGCGTCCTGGAGTTGCTGCACAGCGGCGGTAAGGGTCGCCACCTGCGCCTGTAAGGGCCCGAGGGTCGCGAGTTGCGCCATGAGGGTCGCGAGTTGCGCCTGGATAGGCGCAAGGAGGGAGGTGAGGAGGGTGTGTAGATCTCCCTGGGGCTGATGGCCCTGGTCCACCGGCACGGGTGTGGAGCCCGATGCCGTGGTCATCGCCGTGTCGACGGCGTGTGACGCACTGTCGCCCATGGGGAGATGACGGACCGGACTGGAGAGGGCCAGAAGAGGTCCGCGTGAGCGGAGGGCGGAGGGGGAAGTCCGCGGTAGAAAGCGGCGAACGGCGCTAGCAAGGCTAGCACGGGCGCCGTCAAAGACGGAGGGGTGGTTCGGGTCCAGGGTGCCCGAAGAGGACGGGGAAGTAGGGGGGGTTTTGAAGAACCCTAAACCTTACAAAAACCCTAAGAAAACCCTAACCGAGGTTTAAGGCTAGGGTAGGGTACCGGTGACCTAATCAAGAAAGTAAAATAGCAAGCA